TTGGTACTGACGTTTCGATGATTCAACGGTTTTCGCAGTATCTGTATGTACTGGCTGATCGTAGGTTTCGATGAAAGCTGGTTTGACTCGGTCGATGCTAATTACATCCGTTTTTCCAGCTTTGTCTACCGTAATAGTTTTGTCGTCTCTTCTAATCACTTTAAATGGACCATCGTAGGCCGGTTGTAAGGGACGCTGCACATTATCCCTTCTGATAAACACATGGGTACTGTCACTTAGTTGTTTGGGTATGTACACACGGTGTTGATGTTGTCTCGGAAGTGTTATCCTTAGATTACTCATATGCTGCTTTTGACGTACATAATCGGCTATATCAGTTGGAACGCTTTTACCTGCGGTGAGAAACTCTCCTGGTAAACGTAGTGTGGTTCCATAAACCAATTCTGCAGGGCAGCATCCTATATCTTGTTTGATTGTTGTTGTTGTTGTCAATTAACGAGAATGGCCTTCGAATACATATATTTTGTATGTAAAGTGAATGTAATGGAACAAAGCGAAATGACGCGCAGGGAGGATTGCTGGGAAGCCAACTCCATTTTAGTCAACCGTTACTCAATATTTATAGTCAGACAAAATAAAGCTACAGACATGTGATCAATGCGATAAGAAGGGCACACACATATACGCTCATATAAAAACAATCAAGACTAATAAGCGAATAATTGACAAGGTCAAAATATGACTCAAGTAGAATGAATAGAATGGAATGTCCGAAAGCTAAAATAAGGTATATGGGCTTGGCATAATAACTGACACTACAATCTTGAGCTCAACATGACTAACGGTAGCTTGTTGGCCCAATCTTTATTGCTGATGACAGCTGTAAGAGAAGCTTTAAGTTGTCGATGTAACCTCTCTACCATACCATTCGACATCGGATGGTAGGATGTTGTGCGAATTCGTTTGATTCCGAGGAGTTCTGTGAGTTGTTGGAAGAGGCGGCTCTCGAATTGAGCTCCTCTATCAGTTGTAATATTAGTAGGTACACCATAATAGGAAATCCAATGCTCTACTGGGGCTTTCGCTACAGTTTTGGCTGCAATGCCTTTTATGGGCACAGCTACAGGCCATCGCGTGAATCTATCAATGCAAGTAAAAATGTAACTGAAGCCATTTGAAATCGGCAGTGGTCCTATAATATCGATATGTGCTCGAATCTGCTATAGGGATGACGGAAATGACCTACTGCGGAACTGGTGTGGCGATGTATCTTAACTCTCTGGCATTTTATACACGCTTGCGTCCAATTACGAATATCCCGATTCATACTTGGCCATACGAAACGTTCGCTGATTAGTTTGATGGTGGCCTTTATTCCAAGATGCGAAATATTGTGCATAGCTTCGAAAATGTTTCGTCTTAGTGGCTTTGGAATACATGGTCTTGGTTGACCTGTAGAAATATCGCACGTGATGCTTACTTTTCCCAATGGAGTTTCTTTCAGAACTAACGAGGTTGTATTGGCAGATTTTAGTCTGTTTAACTCGACGTCGATATTTTGTAATGCTGCTAACTTGTGATAATCGATTTCGGATTGGATGAGAGCGTTGACCATCGTTCTGGATAATGCGTCTGCCACTTCGTTACTATTGCCTTTGATATACTGTATGTTAGACGTGAATTGGGAAATAAATTCTAATTGTCGAATTTCCCTCGGTGAGTAGTTGTCCTGTTTGGCGTTTAATGCTTTTGTGAGGGGTTTATGATTTGTATATACTGTAAAAATGGTACCCTCAATCATATGTCGGAAATGTTTTATTGCTAAGTAAATCGCTAGGAGTTCTCTTCCGAAAGTACTATATCTTGTTTGTGTCCGATTCAGTCTTTTCGAAAAAAATGAGAGCGGTTCCCATATGCCATTCACTAATTGTTGTAAAACGGCTCCTACCGCTACGTCTGATGCATCCGTCATGATAGCTAATGGTGTCTCGCTCTTCCGTCTGTTTAATGTCGTTTCTTTACTTAGTGCTTTTTTAGCGTGTTCGAACGCTTGAATCGCGTCTGGTGATAATTGGAACGTCCGTGAGCTTCCGCGTAACGCATCTGTTAATGGTTGCAATATTGACGCACAATTCGGGATAAATCGTCTGTAATAATTTATTAACCCGAGAAATCGGCGTATTTTTTTCCATGAGTCGGGTAGGGGATAATTCCTAATGGCGTCGACTTCTGTTGCTATTGGTGTGATGATGCCTTGAGAAGTTATATTGTGACCTAGGAACTGTAAAGATTCTTTTCCGAATTCACACTTCTCAATATTTATAGAAATACCATGTTCTCTGAGTCGTATAAATAATTGCCGTAGTTGTTGTATATGCTCATCTTTAGTGGTGCTAGCTACTAATAAATCGTTGATATACGCGTATACCCCAGGTAAACCTCTAATAACCTGGTCGATAAACCGTTGAAAGGTTTGTGCCGCGTTAGTCAGTCCAAAAGGCATACGCAGGATCTCATATAGCCCAAATGGGGTTGTTACTGCTGTCTTCGGTATGTCTTGTGGGGCAACAGGGATGTGGTAGTATGCTCTGATTAAGTCGATCTTCGAGAAGATAGTAGTGCCCTCTATACTGTAGGTGAAATCATGAATGTGCGGTATAGGGTATCTGTCAGCTACTGTTTGTTTGTTCAGTGCTCTGTAATCTCCACATGGTCTAACCTCTCCATTCTTTTTCGGGGCCATATGTAGTGGGGATGCCCACGGGCTGTTCGATGGCCTTACGATGCCTAGCCTCATCAGCTTGTCAAATTCTTGTTTTGCGATAGCTAGTCTTTTGGGATCTAACCTTCTTGGTCTTGCATTGATTGGTGGACCATTCGTTACGATGTGATGCTGAATAGAATGTTTGAGATCCGCTTTATTGTATGTTACTTTTACGAGTTCAGGGAACTCCTTTAACAACAATTTATATGGATCATTGCGACTTTTATCTATCACAAGGTTCATTGAAACGGCTTCCGTAAGTATTCCTTTTATCGAAGTGGTTTGACTGCCGTTTATAAGTCTGTGTCGTCGAGAGTCTACTAGCAGGTCAAAGTTACATAGGAAATCTATACCTATTATGGGTATTGATACGTCTGCTATAACAAAGTCCCAGCGGTATGAAGTGCCACGTCCAAAATCTAGGGACAATTTCCGTTTGCCATATGTCTTAATATCTGATTTGTTTGCTGCTCTTAGCACTAATGACGGATTAACGTTTTTTCTTTCCTCGCTAACTGGGGGTACTACGCTAATTTCCGTTCCAGTGTCAACTAAGAATTGCCCGCCAGTGGTTCGGTCTTGTATATAAAAGAGGCGACTATTTTCAGGCATTATGTGCGTTGATGCCGTTGCCATTGATACTCGTGGGTATCGGTTACCAGACCTAATTTTCAAGTCTTATAAACCAAAGTTTTGGGTCTGTGACTTTAAAAGAAGGGGCAGGGAGGTTAAGAGACCTCACGGACGAGGTTTGCTGTACGCTTGAAACTGTGTTTTCGTAAGACATCTTTGTAAAAAATTAAGTAGCACACGAAAATAATGTAACTGTCAGAAAGAAAAATAGACGGACAAAAACAATCATAATAAAAAAATGGTACAATTTATAAAATGGAACAGACTTACTAAACTGCACCAATATATCAATTGTTTATGAATAATCGTTATTTATTATGATTATAATCGTCACGTTTAATAATGTTTGCGAAATAATGTAAGTGTAATTAAAATAGTAATATAAATCCACTGTTGTAATTATAGTTCATTTGATAATCCAAATTGAGATGAAAAGAGTCGGATTTTTGGGATTTGATTATTTCGCCGAAACTCGCTTCCCGTTCTCACGTCGGGATTACCAATTATTTGGTGGTCGGTATTCGATATAATCCTTAAACTTCGTATACGGATCGTCTTGATAACCGTTCTATATAACGTCCCAACGGTATATTAATCAGAAGGCAAATACGGAGTGTTGATTACGTTTATTGCGAGACCACACACATATATCCAAATGTACAGATGCGTTAAACAAGCATAGAAGAGCTGTTCCGAAAGGCGAGCAAGCGAGCGAGAGCCAGAGCAAGACGAGAGTGCGCGTGTGTTGAATATGAATAACATGGACATATATATACCATGTGAAATGAATGAGTAATCGAATCAAATAACCAGTTAGTAGTAAGACTAGCAGAGTGAATAAATGCGTAGGCAGTAATCAATATTCAAGCATATGTGTTTCATACAAGCACAAAATAATAAGGGTACAATAAATTGTTATAGTGCGGATGACTTTGTCCGCTAAATGAGTTAGCAAAAGGGCTTAACTGAGTTAAATGAGAATAAACTCAATTGCACGTGAGTCACCATAATTGTACGTGCAACGACAAAATATAAACGATTTAAGCATTATCATTGTCAATTTCGTCATTAACATACTTCATTCTGTGTTACTGCATTTTTTTGGTATGTAAAACGTTGGATAAGATTTTACTGTACTGGGATCTAGAGGTTATCAGAGTGAGAATGAGATTAGTCAAGAAAATGTCAACCTTTACGTCACGTTCATATTCTGATAAAATATAACGCAAGCAGCGAACCTATATGAACCGAATTTCAATTATTTCCCTTCATAACTTATTGGTACATTGTTTATAACGCATAAAATTCAGTTGATGAAAGGTGGTATTGTTAACAACGAAACCTTATTCTGAAGCTTTCTTACAACATTATCACGACAGATTTTGACCCTACTATGATTTTCCAAAACAATCTAAAACTCTAAAGTACATTTATTTTAGCCAGCATACTCAAGTCTAATAACAATGACCATATAGTTATATCGAACAAACTAATCAAGACAAGATAAAATAAATAATAAGACAAAAATCAGATCATAATCAGTACCATTTTATTTTAGACCAAATGACAAAACAAGTAAAAAGAAACAAAACCAATAGAAGTTATTATGATAATAGAAAGTGATACAAAGTATAAAAGAATATTATCCTGGTACACTTGGAGCGTAATGTTTTGCACAACGTGTAAATTCATCCTCCTATAAAATAACATAAGAATTAGTTGTGTTTTTTTCAAAGTGAATAGTTTTTGTTACCTTCTCTGCATAATCTACAAGGAATGGATGATCCCTACAACAATCCCGTAGTTGAGATATTAGTCTGTTGATAGTCTTTTTAAAAAAAAAAAAGAAAAGTGGACAATTCAAGATTGTTTTTTTTCAAAATAAACACATTCTTACCTCAGTCGGTTTTCCTAAATGATGATAAACCACAATCATATTTACAATTGTATCAGGATTATTACCATCCTAGAAAAATGTAACGAATATACATACGAATATTATAAATAAGATTCTTTTAGGAAAATAAATCTGTATAATGTTATGCTAATAATACACTTTTTCGTAAATCATAACTAGTATTAAAAATATTACAAAATGTGCTTAACAGAGATAAAAATTTGCACCACTGTTATAATTTATTGCCTAAGTGCCCTGCCAATGTATAACGTAACGATACTGCCAATCAGAGAACCGTGACTTATCGATCGGATCAATGACGCATAGAACAAGTACGAGCAGTCTAGAGTCCTTATCGATCCTGCTTTCCGCCTAGCCTTGCCTGTTAAGTCTAGAACGCCAATCTTAGCCTCTGCAATACGAATCATTTATTTCAAACATACGGGGTTTATATATCAATCAAACAGACCACAACGTACCATAAAATAGGAAATAACATTTGTAAAAGATTTAGCCAAATGTGGGAGGCAGTGGACTAATAAACAGGGCATAACTCAAGAATGGTAAATCGTATAATAATAGTTCATAGGTCAAGATAAAGCTTATAATAACAGGGACATTAATGTGCATAGTTTAGTTATGTAACACTGATACAAATAGAAATATACACATAGTATTGGTCCATAAATGGATCCCAAAAGTTACCATTCATTATGCTTATCCGGACCTAACCAACCACAATACCCAAAATACATTTCACAATAACAGACAGGCACAATCTTACACAATAAAGCTGCATACTATACTTTTATTAATTTATTTGAGCACATAACCATTGGTACATGGGAGTACTATATGGGCCACATAATAACAATGAGGTTTTGGAGATAAGGAGTGGATAGTGAGTACAATAAAAGAAGAGCAACAAAGAACAGAAATTAGTGTATGACAGTAAAATAATAATAAGAGCAGTTTTGCTCTCATGTTGATGTTATTGATTGATATCCCCTCAGCTTCACAAACTTTTTCACTCATACCAAACTTCTTACTGCCAGTGAATCTGGCAGTTAACACAAGCAGCGGATCTTTCCAACTCGTCTGAACGCTCCGACCACCAAGCTTTTCAGTCCTTACACAAGGATTGCACAGTTCTGTTGCGTAGCAATCCTCAATTATAGTCAAACTCGCGGTCACCCGGGCTCCATTGAGTTATAAGGAGCCTGAAGAAACCCAATGCTTATAAGCAGGATGTTTCGCGAAATCACAAGTATCTTTACTCACCATTTTCATGGCGTCGTGCAATTGCAACCAATGCTTATCTATACTTTTCGGTGGGATGGTGGCTAGCCTTGAACATAGCTTGGTTTGATATTTAGTTGCAACAGAAACTGGAACCGACCCGTTTAGGACGAAGTATTTGCTGACCGCTGAAACGTAAGATAAGATTTGCGCCAACAAGGACATCATCAGAGTCCAGATAAGTACTCCAAAAGAAGCGACATTCCTGTACACAGCCACACCCACGGTAGCCGATCGCGGTGTGGTCAATTTGAGTCCAGATTTGAGATGCAGAGGACTCCAGGTAGCATATAGGTAATGACTGTGTCGATAGCAAGTGTTAGTCAGAAATAGGTTGTAGTCTGCGCAAAGTTGCTGTAGACGGTTACCGTTATCTGACCTGCGACCAACAAGTTCACATTGGCCATCTAAATGACTCTTCTGTGCCTACACGCACGACCAACGCATTCAAGTCTTTGGCTAGTACTACAGAATCTGCCGAACAAATTTCTGTATAAGAACACCTAACTGGTGACAAAACTTATCTCTCATTGCATTTGGGTTGCATTATGGGTAGTCATGATAACTATCATATGAGTAGAATCCTGTACGTTAACAATGCGGAGTCAAACTACTTACAGAATGAAATCTTAAGTTTTCAAAATATCGATCAGATTATTTAAAGTGAATAAATATTGATAAACAACTATCTCTTCCTAAAATAGTCGTATTGAGAATTTATGATAAAACCTGCAAACTTTTAAACATCTCAAATAAACGGGGAGATAGAAGATGTTTTCGTTTATTTAGCTCGTCCTTTCAGAGATGATTTTTGCACACCGAAAAATAAATAAGTAATAAACCAACCAAATCAATAGCTTCTTGAAGGACTGGTTCCGCTTCAACCCAATTATTCATACCCATCAAAGCTGCAGCCTGACCATTTAACAGTAAAGTTGAAGGTCCATGTTTTTCTTTAAGTTCTTCATATATGTGAATGGCTTCTTGTAGCTGATCACCGCCCTGGAAAAAATGAATATCATTTATAAAGCGAAGTACAATGGTGGGATGCATATGTTTTTTTTACCAACACTATTAGGAACATACTTTTTTCACGTAGTATAAAGCTGCGGCAAGTTGTGCTGCTAAAGAATCTTCATCTGCAGTTTGCATACGTCGAACAGCCTTGCCAGCAAGATCACAACGATTCATGTGAAGTAGACACTGAACTGTTAAAGCGTTGCTAAAAGGAAAAGTGACTTGAGATATTAAGCTTTCCTATAATTTCTCAAAAATGCTAACATTCTGTAATAAACTTATCAAACTAGGATTAACTAGAAATAAAAACCAAAACAAACTAGTCTTGAGTTTACATGACCATAGGGAGAAAAATAAACAGATTAGTGAGCCATAACAGTGATGTAGTTACATGTTTATGTGATTATAATAATGTTGACAGTCCGACAAACGACAGAAGCCAACTAGACTATTGTAGACGTTACAAAGTGAAAAAAATTGCTAGAGCTAAGAATAAAAATTTATTTACATGATAATTGTGTTTTAGTTTTCTGACTCATTAGTCACAGTATTAAGCGTCCATAATTATAGAGTTACACATATTTTAGCCAAATCTTTAACTTAGGGGGCTAATGGCTACCTTAGAATCAGGAAGATTACAAACGTGAATTTTCTTATATGTTTAGTCAGTCAGATACAGTGTAGGACCAGATAAACACATGCATCGGTCCAAGTTGCCATTCCTCATTAGCACAACAAGATGAACACCAAATTCATAGAAGCAGTTATTTCAACGGTAGTAATATATAGAAGATTGCATATAAAGATATTATACAGGGAAGAAAGAATTAGTTAGTTGAAAGGTATAAAGTAATTTTAATTTCAAGGCTTAAGGGAAGACAAAGAGTGTATACACATAAGCCATTGTCATCGATTCTGAGCCATGTCACCCAGACTCCAACCCTTGGTTACGATGGTCACGCGGATCCCAACTAAGTAGTCTGTATCTACCAATATGGCTCAGACTAGAAGTCAGTGACTTTATGTACTGATGCCACACCTCGCTTTTATCGTCCCTTACCTTTCTTCCAACAGTCTCCAACACTATTCAGCATTGCGTGCCCTGATAATCGGTGGTTGGGGATGTGTAATAGGTGGCCCACCAACTCAGTCGATGTAGAATCACAACCTCATCAACTGATTTGCCATCAAACTAACTTTTCGAATTCATGTACAGATTTCGTCAGACACCAACACATTAGGGCTGATTAGGTGCACTCCAAGCATCCTGGCATGGTTGCTCAGCGTTGCCAAAACACTGCATTATATCAACATATTCAACAAACAGAACTATGTCATCTGCATATTCTACGTGAAACTCCTGGAAAGACATCAATTCCTGAAAATTCAGTCGACGAGAACTTTATTTCCAGCAGTAAGCATGAAGTTGAACAAAAATGGAGACAATGGACAGTCTCACCAGACACCACTTGAAGTTACAAAATCACATGACAGTTTCCCATAAGCTCTCACTCGACTGGTAGTGTTCGATTAAAGTCTTTACGAGTTTTATGTACTTCTGAGGCACACCTTTCAATGATAGATACTACCACAAAACATCTCGGTCTACAGAGTCGAATGCTGCTTTTAAGTCAAGAAGGACCACTGTTGTCAAACGTCGATAGGCATGTCTGTGTTCTAAAATCTGATGAGTGATGAATATGTGGTAGAGTAGCTGAAGGTCAGTTGAACTGCTTCTTGGTGTTCCGCCCATCGTTCTAAACGTCTGGACTGAGAGTAGATAAGTGTCGTCTTTTTCCTAAACTGTAACACTTACAGTTTACTTCTTAATTCCGGTTTCTTTTATTAGTCCAAAAAGCTGTCTGAAGTTAACTACAGCCGCTGCCTTCAATTGGTGTCACCATCTTGAAACACCGACTTCGGTGGCTTGGACATGTTCTCCGAATGTCGTCCCAGAGAATTCCACGTCGTGCATTATTTGCCGACTCTGGGACTGGTTGGAAGAAGCGGAGAGGTGGTCAGTGCATGACATGGTGTCGTGGCATGAAAGAAAGCTGCAAAGGACTGGCTTCTGTCGGTCCTTCACGACTCCCTGGTTGGGGTCCGAGAGATGGTGCTACACAGTGACTAGAGACGTTATCAGATATGGCTGAGAATAGAAGCCAGTGGCGATCCTGCTGTAACCTTCTTTTACTTTCTTCACAAAAAGTGGTTGTGTCTCCCTTACCTGAAAGATTTCTTCTGATTGTACCTCGTTACTACCACATTACCTTACACCAATCTCTTCGTTATTGTTCTCTTTTTCTTTTGCGCTCCTTAGTTTTTTTTCTCTTCGCATTCTCATTGTTTTGTGTGGCGCATATATATTGGCGCTCTCTTGCACCAATATTTATGTGTTCAAATAAATAATAAATAAATAAACATTGACAATATTAGCGACGGGCACAAAGGCTAACAAGCATGTATGGGAAATGAAACTGACAATCTTTTACTGAGAAGCAAGGTAATACAATGCAAGAATCGAACCCGTATAGATGTATAATGAACTAAAGATACTACTGTAAGCTTAACGAATCCCCTCTTTTCTCTGGACTAGCCTAACATAAAATTGTATCCTTACAAATTTAAACCCGAAGACATACTATCACTTTCAAACTGCGAATATTTATGTCGTGTGATCGAGTAAATTCCAGTAGCTGCAAAGCGATGTCAATTGCTTTTAAAGGTGTTGTCTTAAGTGGTTATTACGCTAAATGTAATTGCCGACTCTTATAAATCAGGAGCTAATCAAGTCACAGATTACTATAACGACTTCAAAAGCAATTATGTGAACTACCAACTAAAGGTTTGTTTCTGAAACCCTAACTTATGACATTCCACACTGAACATGGTTTTACAAGAGAAACTCACCAGTACGTGTCGCTACCATTATTTAAGGTTTTCAAAGCATATTCCACCATCTAAAGTGAGACAAAGGAATTAGTACTAACTTACATTTAAATGAAGATATATAGTTGCTGCAATGACAATCGCACTTTGGCTTAAATCCATATGTTGTTCCAGTATTCTGTCAAGCTGTTTTACCACAGCGTCCCTTTAAATATGGAAAAACATTAAAGGTTTGCCGCCATTATTAATGGAATATAGACATACTCAGATACACCTTTCGAAAGGTATGTGGCCAAGAGCCTAAGAAGCTTTAGCTCTGGCTCGTTAGCGTCCTCAGGAATTTCATCGAGCACAACTCCATACTTTTTTTGAGCTATGTATACTTGATAAGTAAGCACATTAGCCTGCAATTCTACGTCTGAAGAACCCGACTATAATAAAAGTAAAATATAATACACCATATTACCTTCAACTTTTGAATTGTTTTAAGAGCCAGTTGATGTTGTCCCAAAATGAAAGCACACTGAGCATCTAGCAGTACTAGTTCATCACTCATGTTCGGCTGCCACCCAGCAACTGAGTAACGCAACACGTGAAAGTCCGGTGCAACTTCCAATTCAAATGGTTTCAATGTCTACATGATTCAAATGGTTCAAATGGTTGTGGACGGAATAGAAGAAGCTTTCGCTTAACAGGCTTCCGTGTCTAGTTGCAGGGGATCACCAAATCCTCCAGGCAGGAACCTAGGTATGTTAACAATAAAAGAGGAAAAGAAATTGGTAAATCATAGTGTGATGCTGTCCTTACTCCATAAGAATAAGTCAAGTTGCCTCTTGAAGGACTCCTGAGAAGTCGCTTGGACTAGCTCGACCGCCAGCGAATTCCAGCTTTTGACAACTCTTAAGGAGTAGAAGTTGTGTCTACATTCCGTCTTGCTATGTTGTGTTTCCAGTTTCTGGGTGTTACCCCTTAGGTTATTATTCGAACTAAGCTTAAGTAGGTGTTTAAGAGGATGTCCAGAAGTGTTAAGAATACTATAAGCCATTAACAAATCACCTCTAAGACGCCTATACTCTAATGGGTAAAGGTCTAGTGAATGGAGGCATTCTTCGTAAGGTTTAGATTTGAGTCCTCGAACTGATTTCGTGGCTCGCCGTTGGATACGCTCCAAAGTGACCTTGTCCTTTTGGAGTGAGGGGGAAGTACTATGTTTCCGTACTATAAATGGGGACGGATGAAGCTATTGAAGATTGTGTGGAAAGTTCTTCCGTCAAACTGGCCAAAAATGCGCCTCAACGTTACCAGTGCAAGGTTTGCTCGTAAGGCATTTTTGTCACAGTTAGCGTAAGACTTCAAATCATGGGGCATCAGGACTCCTAAATCTTTTTCGACTTGGGACACTACTAGAGAGGAGTTTCCTAAGTTGTAACTGTAGTTTGCGACATGTCGCAGATGGACTACTTTACACTTTGAAGTGTTAAAGGTAAGTCCGTTATCGTCTGCCCAACTTTGAAGTCGAGTCAGATCCTCCTGAAGTGCCTGTATATCGTCTTGGTTGCGTATCTCTCTCCAAAGTTTCACGTCGTCGGCAAAAAGTAATAAGTCTGACGTTACCTGTTGAGGAAGACAATTTATGTAGATCAAGAAGAGGAGAGGTCCTAGTACTGAGGCCTGGGGGACCCCATTAGGACATTCCATAGCCCGAGATAAAGTGAAATTAACTCTAACCATAAAGTGTCGATTTTTTAGGTATGAAGTAAGCCAATCGATTAGAGGTGGTTTGATACCTAGTTGTTTGAGCTTATTGATAAGACACAAGTGGTTAACCTTATCAAAAGCTTTTGAGAAATCAAGGTAAATGATATCAACCTTTCCCTTGCGATCGAGGATGCTTGTCCATCTGCCCACCGCAGTCAGCAGGTTGGTTATACAAGAGTAACCCTTCCTGAAACCATGCTGTTGGGGTGAGAAGAAATTTAAGGACAGTAGATAGTCGTTTAAACCGTCGCATATTAGGGACTCCATGAGTTTTGAAGGTAATGACAGAAGAGACACCGGCCGAAAACTTGAAGGTTCATTGCGTCGACCACCTTTGAAAATTGGTGTGATGTGAGCCAACTTCCAATTTTCCGGTAATTTACCTCGGCTTAGCGAGTGTGAAAACATCATGCTAAGCGGCGTTGCCAGGATTGAGACTGCCTCCCTCAGTATGGCAGGATGAACCATATCCGGGCCAAGAGAAGTATCTAGTCTTAAGTGCTGCAATTTACGGAACACCAAGTCAGCGCTTAGGTTCACTTCGGAGAGTCCTGTGGAATTGCAGATGAAACTGTCGTCAATAAAGTTGATGTCAGCCGGTTGAAATGTTTGAGAGTAATGTGCCGCCAGAAGGTTAGCGGCGTCGCCATCGTTGTGTGGTCGGGCCGTTAAGACCTAGCAGTTGAGAAACTCCTGTTTTGGCTTGACGAAGAGAGGCTGCATAACGGAATAGGCTTCTAGGGTTAGAGGCAAATTTGTCCATAAGCTTTGTCTGGTACTGAAACCTGTCTTCTCCTATAGCCTTCGTGCATATGTTCCTGATATGTTTATATTGTCTATACGCTCCGTCGTTATCAGTTCGTTTGTATTCCGCCCAGTCATCAGTGTACCATTGTTCAAAATTTATTTAAAATCTTTATTGATGCTAACCACATTTAATTATCTGTTTTGAAAGTCAGGAAAAATGAGGGCATGTAAGGTGCAAATTTATCACTAAGTAATTAAAATACTGTGATAAAGTGGCCTCTGGTTATTCTATATGGTAATAAAATCAGGTGGAGTTTATCCAGTCTGTTATAATACGGTAGCCTTGCTATTCCTGGAATCGGCTTAGCTGCAGTTCTTTGAACCTGTAGTGACTCACTTTTCTCACGAGAACACGACTGATTTAATGAAAACAATTATTATTATAACCAACTGTACCAGTGCTTGTTTTAATGTGCTTTTGTTTAACTGTGCTAATAACAGCCACTTTTGTGCTTCCATTACCTTCCATCATTGTTCCGCGGTTTTTGGCTTTGTCCGCACGTACTTTATTCTCCTGCTTTCGCTTGTACCATTTCTTGGCACGATCTTTGTATTCGTTCAATACCACGAGATCGCCAACGAAATAAATCTGGTTACGTTCAACCCACGCCCTCTGATTTGTTTGGTACGCGTTTCCTTGTAGTGGCGTTCATAGTCAATCTTGACTCGAAACCACGCTACAAACCCTTCCCAACAGCTCACCGTCTCTTATTGGGTGGGGGCTAGCTGCTTGTATGCGGAATTCAAGTTTACGATGCACAAATACTGTATACATGTCATTTTCAAGCTCTAAACTATCATCTTTGCTTTTTATCACTCTCTATATCATTGCATCGTCGGCCTATAACGAAACCGATGATGATAGTGTGGTGACCTACTTTTATTCAGAGAACGTGTAACAGCTTAGGTTGGTTGGTTAAGAGTTCACCTCAAACAACTAAGCATATGTCAAAACAGTATAGTTCAAGTATTCATTCACTTCCTTATTTTGTATAGGCGTTATATTTTCTATTATCTTATACTGAATATTGAGAGGCTTTGTTTGTCTGAACAAATAATCCCGCGCTCCACTATGACTGCAGGAAGATCTAAATAAACACCTATTAACTACTTGTCTGGTTTCTTCTATCGACAACACGAGGGATACCTAGAGGCACGGAAAACTCAATTGTTTGTTATGGTCGCCTCTGATATTTTGCCTACGGGGGATCTTATCGGTTAACTGGCACATAGTCCCTCCGTAGTGGTGATCATAGTCAACCGCGACTCGACGCCACGCTACAACTGGTGAGCCAAATCTAGGAAAACGTCTCAACCTCTGGAAAATCTCCCACGGAAGACTACTGCGGTGAATCTATCCACGTCTGTTGCACATTTTCATATTGGTATTTTTCAATATATAATATTCTGGCAACGACTTGAGATGACGGATAACGATAAGAATGGTAGTAATATAATAGACTCCGATGTACGACTATCGAATCTTAGGTGCCTTTCATTCGCGCGACGATATATTCCACGCTTTATTCGAGAAAGTTCCCCAATTAACCACTCACTTCACTGACCGGGCTGCTTGGTACGGAACGCATACGCACTACCGCCTACCACCCAGCATCAAATGATTAAGTTGACCGGTTTCATCACCAACCTAAAAGTGCTCTTCGAGCACACGAAAACAACAATTGGTACGAAACCTTACTGCTCGTCCTCTTAGGTATCAGAACGAGCTTAGGGGCAGATATTCAATGTTCCACCGCTGAACTTGTATACGGCTCGACATTGCGTCTTCCTGGAGAATTTTTCACACCACGGAGCTGCAACGATTTTAGTAAATTAAACTACGTCCAACGACTGTCGGAATTTGTGCGAACACTGCCCCTGTTGTCAACTCGAATACAACATCGACGGGTCGCTCTCCCTCGAGAGTTATCTACTTCTTAACATGTTTTCATACGAGTAGATTCGGTACGCAAGTCTCTGCGACAGCCTTACGAAAGACCTTTCCGTGTGATTTCTCGTCACGAATTGACCTTCAAAGTTGATCTACATGGTCGCGTCAAAATCGTCAGCATTGATCGTCTCGAACCAGCACACGTCGATGACAGTGCCCTACCTGATAAGTTGAGACTCAATGCTAGACCCATCAAACCCACTAGCGGGATCCCTACATGTACATCGGATACACCAGAGACCTCATTCTCACGTCTCAGTCGACAGCACGTGTCATCTGCACCATCTACGGACGAGACTTCAGTCTCACATCCAGATCAGCAAACCACGCTGCCCTTGACTTCGGATGAGATTGCAGGCTGACGAAGTACGAACGAGACTAGAGTCTCACGTTCCGGTCGCTGAGTACGCCTACTCATACCCCTTCGCGACTAACCGCCCAATCAAAAACGAATACGACATGGGACTCTACCCCTATTCTACATGCATGCTACACCTTTTCTCTTTTTCTTTGATGTTTTTTGTATCCTGAGCCAACGCCTCCGTCCATCGTCCGTTTAATAATGTCGTCTTCAGCCAATTTCGGCGAAAGCCGGCCTGATCACCTTCGCTCTTGCCAACGAACTCAGTCGATGTTCTGGTCCCGAATATGTCTGGCATACATTTGGTCTCGCATTTGGTTGTTATGGTCGCTTCTGGTTTCTACGCTCAACGTGGTTTTGTCCTACGTCTGCACCGTTTTCTGGTCCAGACCCCTACGAACGCAATCTTCAGATCGTGGATACAAACCAATCTGGTGTGGTACGCCAAATCGAGCAACAGATACAGCACGTTTCTTCTGGTACCGTTCTACGTAAAAGACCTTCCGTGACAACTCGAGGACTAATGATCGCTTCTTGTTATGCCAACACTATCGTCCTACAATCGCACGTTTGCTGATCAGTCCCACAAACGAAACCGTTACGTATCAAAAGTATGAACCCTTTCTAGCGGGGGGCTCTTGTAGTGACCTACTTTTATCAAGAGAAGTCGATTGGTGTA